ATTTTTTGAAAAACTTGTTAAAGTGATCATTTTTGCACAAAATAACCAAAAGTTGATCTTACCTTTCTGTTTCTCTTAAGCATCACTCCTCATAAGTTGATAGAGAATATAGTTTTCAATTCAATTTTATTAAAAACTTAGCAATTGTTCTCATTTGATAGAAAATAAATATCATAATAAGTATCAATAGAAACATTTTAATTAAATTCAGTTAAAGCTCTATTTTTCAAAACATTACTCTTTTCCTACCAAAACATCATTATGAAACTTTGAGAGCAGGAATCTGTAGAGCTTGGGGCACTTGCCCAGTATGGTGTTTTATCAAAACATCTATTGTTGTCTACAATTAGGCTCAGGTCTTTACAATCACTCTAGTCCTGAGAAAGCTCATCCCCCTAGCCTGAAGACTAGCTCAGAGAAATTTAGGTCAAGTTCATTCCACATGACATTGAAATTCTTTCATGGAAACGACACAGCTAAATATGGCAAGAGGCAAAGAAATGCCTTTCTATTGTTGGGTTTGAAATGGGACAGATATCTCTAAATCAGCAGATTTGTTCAATAGAGTCTTATTTCCTGGCTATCACTTGTTAATTCCCCCAAATTCCCTCATGAAGACATCTTTCTTTCATCTTAATTTGAAGAATAATGCTAGGCATTTATTATATATATTCTGGATCCATTCAACAATGAGCTGGAGTTCCATGTTGGACCCTTAACTTTGGTGGAAGATAGAGTTAACTGGCAGGCTGGGTGTTCCTGGGAAAATTACTTTGACTTTATAGTGGGAGAGAGAATCTGTCATCTGTTGGTTTATTCCACAAATGCTCACAACAGCCAGAGCTGCACCAGGCTGAAGCCAGGAGCTGGGAACTCCATCTGGTCTCCCAACTGGGTGGCAGGGGTTGAAGTACTTGAGCCACCACTGCAAGGGGCACATTAGCAAGAAGCTGTAATGAGAATGGAGCCAGGACTTGGACCCAGGCATTCCAATATGGAGATGCTAGCTTCCCAAGTGGTGACTTAACTGCTGCATGAAACACCCAAGCCAAGTTTGACTGTTTAAGCTTTTGGCACTGCTTCCTAATTTACAGGAATTTGGATGAGGAAAATTCCTACAGAGATAGTCAATGGATAGAGACAGGGATAAGAGAAGAAAAAAAGAGAAAAGAAGCAAACTCATGATTCCTTCTCAAATAGTTCACGGATTGACTTAACTTCTTGAAAATTTTTCTAATAGTTTCTTGTGATCCTTTAAGGATGTAGATTTTTGCCCACATGGTGGCAGTAGTTGTTTAGAAAACAGCTCAACTAATCTCAGCAAGGTGTCTGCGGTACTCTAGAATGCGTGGGGAATGAGCAATTAATAATGCATTAGCAAATTTACTAATAATGATAATTCACATTGAATTAATTAGAGAGCAATTTTAAAACTTGGAATGTGTGGGGAGGCGGAGAAACAGGCACCTGAACTTACTGTCTCTTCACAGCCGGAGCCGTATGACAGGTTTGCATGGTTACCCAAGGGTCTCATCTGGCAATGACCTGTTAAGATTCTGCTCTGTTGCCAACTTGAGTTTCATTTGGGCTAAGAGAAGCAAGATGGCATAGGGGCTGGGAGAGGGGAGGGTGTTCCCTTTTTAGTGTAGTGGCAGGAACCTTGTCCTGGGACCCAGGAGACCATGCTTAAAGTGACTTTCTGCTACCAGTTCCCTCCTGTGACATTGAACAGGACATTTTACCTTTCAGGGGCTGTTTCCTGCCTGTAAGATGTATTCATTGGGCCAGATAACCTCCAAGTTCCTAATTCTGGCTTTGGATTTGGTGATGTTGGAAGACAAGAGTTTTGCTAGTTGGAGATCTCCAGATACATGGTTATGTATATAATCACAATGCCAGTAAACAGCATCTGCTGGATTATGATAAGAGCACAAAACACTGTGTTCATACTTAGGCTTAGGCTGCAGGAATAGCTTTTGATTGACATCACAACTAGAGCGCATTGCTTTCTGGGAAGAAACTGAATTTGAAAAGGTCTCTGAGAAGTAAGTGAGACAACCTGCTAAGCAGGGTCTAGGGCTTGGAGTGGGGGAGGGGTCAGGCAGCAGGGACACATGTGTGTGAAGAAGCCCAGCTGGTGAAGGGCCATGGGCTCTTCCAGGACGAACCACAGCTAATCACTCAGCTGGGAAGTCTGTGCCCACGCCTGGAACCTGGCATTGAATCATTGAGGCTCCAGTTTGTTCTTTTTTTTTAATTTTTTTTATTTATTTTTTTATTTTTTGAGAGGCAGAGTGGACAGTGAGAGAGAGAGAGACAGAGAGAAAGGTCTTCCTTTGCTGTTGGTTCACCCTCCAATGGCTGCCGCGGCCGGCGCGCTGATCCGATGGCAGGAGCCAGGTGCTTCTCCTGGTCTCCCATGGGGTGCAGGGCCCAAGCACTTGGGCCATCCTCCACTGCACTCCCGGGCCACAGCAGAGAGCTGGCCTGGAAGAGGGGCAACCGGGACAGAATCCGGCGCCCCAACCGGGACTAGAAGCTGGTGTGCCGGCGCCGCAAGGCGGAGGATTAGCCTAGTGAGCCGCGGCGTCGGCTTCCAGTTTGTTCTTTTCATTCTTTGCCTTCTTTAAATTTGGTCACCTGTCAGCAGTGTTCTATTTTTAATTTGCAAATCTTGTAGTTGCTTTTCCTGTTTATAAAAGTATTATACAGCTGATGTAAAATTAAGCAGTACATAGTCCTATGGTAAATATGGTAAACAGAGAGAGGAAGAGAAAGGGAGAGAGAGAGAGATCCTCTTGTCAGCTCTGAGCTTTGTACTCCTGTTCGCCAAGAGCCAAATACATATTCTTTGATGTGTCTATGGATTTTTGACCAGGTATCTTCCCCAAGAAAAATAGAGAAGGTTTTCACTGATGAACTTCTGAGCACAGAGAAGTCTTGCAACTTTGGTTTAGGACTGATGCATGACCAACTGACCCTGGTGTTATGGGCGAAGCAGTGGTGGTGAAAAGATGACCTCAGTTCTTTGTCTTTCATGGCAGAATTTCCAAGTGGACAAGCAAAGAGAAAAACAAAATGTCTTTAAAAGCAAGATTTCGTTAAGTCAGAGACCTCTAGCCAGAGTGACCTGGGAAGGGGATTGCAAGAGAGGCAAAACCTGAAGGAGCTGTTAGTAATGGGGCTTTAAAGCACAATTTTGGAAAGAGGAAAAAAAAAACCCTCCCATCAGTACAGGACGGGGACAAACCCTTCAAAAGACCTGATCTGCAATCTTTTTACCCTGTCTGGCTTGCTCATGATAAAACAAAAGAGCCATCAGAAGGGTGGGATACCTAATTTGTTTTACCTTAAACTGGGAGCTCAGAAAGGTGGAGTCACCACTCCCTTGCTAGTCCCTTGATAAGACTGAAAGGTCCTAAGGAGTGGGGCAGGTGCTTTGACCTTGCTGAAGATAACTTCTGGGGAAAGAAAACATTTTGTGCCCTAAATTTCCACTGGAACCATACTGACTGCCTATTAACCCATCTGACCCCTCACACTGGCCTTGGATTTTCAATGCTAAACCCAGGGAAGTCCAGAGCTAACCAGGTTCATTGCTGCTGTTAGTTTTGCTCAGTTTGGAAGTGGACCTGGAATACTGATGCCTGATCCTTGCAAGCCAGGACTTTGTTCTAGCTCTTGAGATGCTGCTGCTTTCTTTCTTCCCTCAAGGTGAAGCAAGGGCGTCTGACTCTTTCTTTCCTTTCTGTGAGTCCAGGGAGATGCACGGTTTTGAAGACTTGGAAGAGGGATAAAAAGGGCCCTTCATCTGCGTAAGGCATGCTGTGATGCCTCTCTGCCTGACTCCATGGTGGAAGATCATCAGGGTCATAGTGTCTGCTTCTTAGTGGCCCTAAACATGAAGATAGCATGAACACCCTCTTTAGGAAGTGTTCAGTCTTCGCTTGCCAGTCTCACAACGCCTCCTCAAATAAGAACCTCAGGTGGACACTCCCTTCCCTCAGGCACAAACACTGTGATGCTCTCCCAGCCTCCTCTCCCTTCCGATATTACCCCAATTGTTCTGGCCCTTTCTTAGCTTATTAGGAACATGACTGCTGTGCGGTTGGACAGGCCCATGTACAGAACAGCAGGGATATAAAAGAAGCGTCTAACGAGGGCAGCACAGCACAGGGAAACCCTTGCACCTGTTCCATGGCAGTTTCTGCTGAGGATCCAGTGAGCAAGCTAATCCATCATATAGTAGCTGATCATACAGGTCCTTTGAGGATAAAGTTGGTCTAAGAATTATAAAAGGGACTTGAAACGGAGACACTGCTGGGTGCACTGAAATTTATTCTTGAGTAATCCTCAGACTACTGTTAATGAAGTGGCTTTCATTCTTCTCCTTTAACAGGAGTAATAGTGGAGTAATTAGGAACATGGGCTTTGGAATCCCACTCTACCTTTACTATTTAGTGTCTGGGTGACCATGAACAACTTAAATTAGTCCATTGCTCTAAACTTCTGTTGCTTCTGTCTAGAGATATTAATAGCAAATGCATATAATTCTTGGGAGAATTAGGTAATCTGTCATGTATTTAAAAACCTGGCCCACTGCTCTCAATAATGGGAGCTGATATGATTGATCTTAGGTTGTAGATGAGGAGATAAAGGCACATAAAGTCTAGGTCATGTTCCAAAGGCTGAAATCGAAATTCAAATCCAGGTCTGTTGACTCCAACACTGTAGGAATTTTTAAACAGTGAGCTTTCAGTGAGCACCCACCTTCCCAAGAGCTGAGCAGGTAGAAGTGTCCTGGGACTGCCAGAATACCATTTCAAATCCATAGTAAAAAACTTATCATAGTAAAAAACTTATACTGTTATATTTGATAAGCCTCTACTAAACATTAGGTACCTTTCCAAACATTTTTCTGTAATTCTCCCTGTATAGCCTCATGGACTCTTTCAAGGATTTAGTAAGAATATTTCTATTTTGCAGATGTGAAAACCGAGGTGCAGAGCTGCAGAAGCCTGGCAGAAGCCAGAACTTCTTTTGCAAGCCCTTTTCCAACCTAAGCATTCTTGGGGAGTGAGTGAGCCAGCAGCCAGGACTTCAGCATATACCAGTGCATTGTTGTACACTCAGATCCCCCAGCAAAGCTTCCTGAAGAGCCAGATGTCGGCTGGAGCTGAGGGCTCCTGGCCTGTGATTGGCTGCCATCCTCTGTGGTTAGCCCTCCATGGTGGGGGAGGCTGGGAGGGACAGTGCACACTGATAAATAACACAGCAGTCTGCTCTGAGGGACAAGAGAGCCAGGAGGGAGAAGAGATCACACTTTGCTTTCTCTCTGGTGTGCAGCAATATCAACCAAATTGCAGACATTGCAACAACACTGTGGCCAGGCAGCCTGCTGAGCAAGGTAACTCTTGTACTTTTCATGCCTTGAGCCAAAATATTTATTACATTTTTATGTTTCTAATCAGACATACTTGGGCTTTTTCCCTTGCAGGTGATGAGGGGGAGAAAGTTAGGGAAGCTGACATCAATTTGGCTTTTCTTTCTTTCTTTTTTTTTTAAGATTTATTTATTTATTTGAAAGTCAGAGTTACGCAGAAAGAGAAGGAAAAGCATTGGGCGGGGCGGGGTTGGGGGGGGGTCCTCACATGTGCTGGTTCACTCCCCAGATGGCCGCAACAGCTGGAGCTGCGCCAATCCGAAGCCAGGAGCCAGGAGCCTCCTCCGGGTCTCTCACACAGGTTTAGCAGCCCCAGGACTTGGGTCATCTTCCACTGCTTTCCCAGGCCATTGCAGAGAGCTGGATTGGAAGTGGAGCAGCTGGGACTCGAACCAGTGCCCACATTAGATGCTGGCACTGCAGGAGGCAGCCTTACCCTCTGCACCACAGTGCCGGCCCCAATTTGGTTTTTCTTCCTAGTGTATGAAAATTAAAAAAGGAGTAAGAGATAAAGATCTGAGACATCAAAGATTCATAGAAAAGATGCAAAATTTCTGAATTGCCGTTAGTGAATTCTGTTGGCAGAGGAAGGGTGTAAGCAAATCTGCAAAAGGCAAGTTGTGAGACTCTTGGAAAGAAATTCCACTAGTCCTGTCAAGAAAGGTAATTGAGAGGAAACAAATTCTAGGATAGAAAGAAATGCATAGTTTCCCTGGTACTGCCAAATATCACCAGGCGTTTCCTGAACTTGTTGGACTAAATGGGAGACCAGTGTTTCTTCGAATGTGTCCTGTGGGGTACTCATATCAGGATCACTGGGATGCTTGTTTAAAAATATACTTTCTGGACTCCATCCTGGACAAACTATCAATCTCTCTGGTACCTGATGATCTGCATTTCTTTTCTTTTTCTTTCTTTCTTTCTTTTTTTTTTTTTTGACAGGCAGAGTGGACAGTGAGAGAGAGAGAGAGAGAAAGGTGTTCCTTTTGCTGTTGGTTCACCCTCCAATGGCCGCCGCTGCCGGCGCGCTGCGGCCAGCGCACTGCGCTGATCCAATGGCAGGAGCCAGGTACTTATCCTGGTCTCCCATGGGGTGCAGGGCCCAAGAACTTGGGCCGTCCTCCACTGCACTCCCTGGCCGCAGCAGAGAGCTGGCCTGGAAGAGGGGCAACCAGGACAGAATCCGGCGCCCCGACTGGGACTAGAACCCGGTGTGCCGGTGCCGTAAGGCGGAGGATTAGCCTGTTGAGCCACGGCGCCGGCTGATCTGCATTTCTTAATGAAATGATCTCCCTAGTGATTCTGATTCATGTTAATTTTAAGAATTCCCACAGTAAAGGCCCTAGTTTGAAGTTCTGTTCTTGAGCCAGGCTTCCAGAGCAGGGGTTGTGGCAGTACATTTCTCTTGATGACACAGTTAAAGCAAGAAGTTGTCTGGAGGAAGGATGAGAATCTTAGGGTCATTGGTCTGAGACTTATAGGAAGGCTTTGGATGGTGTCAGCCTTTTAATGGCAAATAGTAGACAATGTATCTGTGGGGTGAATGAATGAATGAATGAGAAGGATAGGTGCGACAGTAAGCATCCCCTTTCTACATGTTTACCAGAAGAGAAAGATAAACTAAGGATGGCAGTCAGACTTGAGACACAGTGGGGACACTTGGGACCAAATCAATGATGTCAAGAGGGGAGATGGTGGGTTGAGTACTAGAAGGTGTGTGTGTTCAGGGGGTGGCTAGAATGGGAATGGGGCTGGTGCTGCTACAGTGGCCCATCCTTCTGAAGTAACAAATGGGCACACTCAACACCAATGTCAGCTTCTGCCTCATCCAAAGCGCTGCAGACAGATTGTTAGAAAGAACCGGTACCCTGTGGAGGGTGGGACCCCTGTGGCACTGATGGCAGTTTGGAGATGGCAGTGTCTGATGGGTTGAGGGCTTACCCAGCATGAGCCCCTCAGCCTTTCAGATTCTGAGGTTGATCTACTGCTGAGACATTTGTCACAGGAGAGGAGAGCAAACATTTGCCAGGTTTCTCAGTGTCAAAAAATGACTACACGATAACTCTCTCAAAATCTTAACTTCATGCTGTGTACAGGTCCATGTCCGAGTTCCTTTTCTATGTGTTTACCAGAAAACAAAGAACATTCAAAGATGCTAATCAGATTTAAGAGTTAGTCAGGTCTCGAATTTTTGTACTAGAAATTTAGAAAAAATGTGGAAGAGCAACTATGGGCATATATAAACCCAGTGTTTAAAATGGTTTTCTATGAAGTGAATTGGTCAAAAATTTCACGTTTGCTGCAAAAAATTCAAAGGACACAAAAATGAGTGAATTTTTTTAAAAATGAAAGAGACCCCTTACCAGTGTCAATTCTATTTTCTGGAGATAAAGTGCTTTTAAGGTCTTGGTGCAGATCCCTCCAGATCCAAGCATACGTCCATGCACACAGGATAGGGGTATACGTGCACACAGGGTCTACTCTGCTTGCTGTTCTACTCTCTGCTTTTTCATGTGGACATCTTTACATATCATCGATGCATTACAAATCACAGCTAGATATCAATGTCAATAGAAAAATTTAATTGTCTGTGTTATTTCCATTGTCTGTTGGCTTATTTTATAATGCCTTTTTTGGTAATTAGATTGTTTCCTATTTGTCCAAAGTAACAAACAATCTTTTAAACAAATCTCTTTCTCTATATTCATATAAATATCACTGTACACCAGTGGGAATGTTTTTACAAAATAACCATGGAATGGTTTTCTAAAAGGAGATTTATTGCACCAAAGATAATGTATTTAAACTTTTAAAAAGATGTTGCTAAATTGTCCACTAGACATTTTATACCAATTTATATTCTGTGCCTTCTTTCATGCTGAGTGATATCAGTAGTTTTAATCTTTACTAATCAGATAGATAAAAAATATGCCACTAGATCTGGTTCTTAAAAGTCATATCTTCTTTGAAAAGTAATGGGTATTTATTTTGAAGAGTGAACACCACAGGTAATGATAAAAAAATCTAAACTTATATACCTCCAACGACAACACCCTTGGCATCTTGGTGCATATTCCCTTTAAAAACAAGAATAACGCATTCCTTCCATGTCTTTCTTGTTTACAGTTTGGATAAACATTTAGCAGCTGAGTTGAGAAAGAATATAATGAACCCATTTGACTTGAATGTCAATAGCTGATAATTGCTTGGTGATGACACTTTCTCATGGCAATATTTCAATGTATTTTGGCAAAATATTTCAGGCCACTGAACATCAGAGGAGGAATGTGTAAGGAGGGGAGTTAGTTCTAGCTGTCTTGTCAACATGCCCTATGGTTTACTTACTCAATGTGAATATTTATATTTTAGTTGGTGAGCTCCGGAGATAGTCATACACTTAAAAAAAAAAAGATTTTATTTATTTATTTGAGAAGTAGAATTACAGGCAGTGAGAGGGAGAGACAGAAAGGTTTTCCTTCCGTTGGTTCACTCCCCAAATGGCCACAATGGTAGGAGCTGCACCGATCCAAAGCCAGGAGCCAAGAGCTTCTTCCTGGTCTCCCTTGTGGGTGCAAGGTCCAAAGGACTTGGGCCATCTTCTACTGCTTTCCCAGGCCATAGTAGAAAGCGGGACTGGAAGAGGAACAGCTGGGACTCGAACCGGTGCTCATATGGGATGCTGGTGCTGCAGGCGGAGGGTTAACTTACTGCACCATGGCACCGGCCCCCTCTTTCTTTCTTCTTCTTCTTTTTTTTAAATCAAGAACTACTCAAAATTTTATCTTGGAATGCCAAGGAATAAGTGCATTAGAAAAAGGCTGGGAAGTGAAACAGTTAAGTAATTAAAAGTCATTTGGGGTTGAGTTCAAGGCTTAGGGCAGAAAAGACAGGGAAAGTCCTAGCACCAGCCTGAGTAGAGAATTAAGGAACATAATCAAGTTGCAAGCATCTCTGATGGTTTTGTTGGGCTGCAGTTGAAATAAGTTTTGAGGGGGCCGGTGCCGTGGCTCACTTGGTTAATCCTCCACCTGCGGCGCCGGCATCCCATATGGGCACCGGGTTCTAGTCCTGGTTGGGGTGCTGGATTCTGTCCAGGCAGCTCCTCTTCCAGGCCAGCTCTCTGCTGTGGCCCAGGAGTGCAGTGGAGGATGGCCCAAGTGCTTGGGCCCTGCACCCGCATGGGAAACCAGGATAAGTACCTGGCTCCTGGCTTCGGATCGGCGCAGCGCCGGCTGTGGCGGCCATTTGGGGGGTGAACCAACGGAAGGAAGACCTTTCTCTCTGTCTCTCTCTGTCTCTCTCTGTCTCTCTCTGTCTCTCTCTCTCTCTCTCTCACACACACACACACACACTATCTATAACTCTACCAGTCAAGTAAGTTAAAAAAAAAAAAAAAAAAGAAATAGTTTTGAAACTACTGAGACCTTTGAAATGGTTTGGAATTGTGTAACTCTCTCTCTCTCTCTTTTTTTTTTTTTTAAAGATTTTATTTATTTATGTATTTGAAAGAGTTACAGAGCGGTAGAGGCAGAGAGAGTCTTCCATTCACTGGTTCACTCTCCAATTGGCCACAATGGCCAGAGCTGTGCCAATCTGAAACCAGGAGCCAGGAGCTTCTTCTGGGTCTTTCCAGTGAAGGGGCCCAAGCACTTGGACTGTCTTCCACTGCTCTGCCAGGCCATAGCAGAGAGCTGGATCAGAAGTGGAGCAGCCAGGACTAGAACCGGCACCCATATGGGATGCCGGCACTGCAGGTGGCAGCTTTACCTGCCATGCCACAGCACTGGCCCCTTAACTCTTGTACAGTCCTGCTCATGGAATAATGTGAAGCATTTGTCTTTTAACAAAGACTTGGAAATTTGCTTTTCATTTTTATAAAAAATAAACACCCCCCCCCCCAAACCATCAGTCTAATGAATAATGCATGCAAGATAGAACAAACTTCACTTGTTTACAGGGACAACCTAAAAAGAAATTTTGCTGATGGTGGTCAGTATTGCTGCCACCACCTTCCTCTTTGCTGCCTCCACTGCCCCAATCCCACCAGTGGTCAGAATGTGTTCATCTGGATATTTTTCTCCATGACTGAAAAAAAATCATCAATTTGGTTAATTAATTGAGAGAATAATATATGCTGCATGATATAATTGGAGATTCCAAATAGGTATCCCAGGCAAAATTGACAGATATAGATAGGCTGATAAGTTTAAAATACAGCTGCTATTTTCCCAATTATATGTACTAAAGGAGTTTTGGCAAGATTAGACTAATTGGGTCCAGTGAGTATCAGATTGCATTGTCAGACTTTTTTCTACATCACTACTGATGCCCACATTACAACCCAGATCAGTAGGGTTCCCCGGCATTTGCAGTTTGTTGTTGTTTTTTTTTTTTTTTTTTTTTTTTTTTTTTTTTTTTACCAGAAGAAAGGTGCTCCTCTCACCTCTTCTTATTACAAATGCTCTCAGTTAATGACTCTTGACCAGCAGGGACTCTCAGGATGGCATGTGTGAGTTCTAACTGCAACCACTTGAATTTTTCATCTTAAAAGTCCTTCAGAGTCTTGGCCCAGGCATGCTGTGGTTTGTTGCAGGTTTAGAGCTCAGTACTTTTTGCTTCTCATGTAGACACAGCCTTATAATTTACAGCAGCATTCACTAATTAGAATTGTAAGCATAATTACTATCCATGATACTTATTATTAGTTTGCATCCAGAAAGCTCAAAATTCACTTTATCCTTTCTAGTAAAGAGTAATTAGTTTCCTTGAGTTTGTAGCTCTATCATTCTTTTATGCTCCATTCGGAAGAAAGAAACAACCAAGCTCCCAGAAGTCTTACTTTAAAAAGCTAGAAATATAGTGCCCATGGCGCAGGCGCTGTGGCACAGTGGGTTAATGCCCTGGCCTGAAGTGCTGGCATCCCATATGGGCGCCGGTTCGAGACCCGGCTGCTCCACTTCCTGTCCAGCTCTCTGCTGTGGCCTGGGAAAGCAGTAGAAGGTGGCCCAAGTCCTTGGGACCCTGCACCTGCGTGGGAGATCGGGAAGAAGCTCCTGGCTCCTGGTTTCGGATCGTCACAGCTCCGGCCGTTGCGGCCGTCTGGGGAGTGAACCATCGGGTGGAAGACCTCTCTCTCTGCCTCTGCCTCTGCCTCTCCTCTCTCTGTGTAACTCTGACTTTCAAATAAATAAATAAATAAATCTTTAAAAAAAAAAATATAGTGTCCAGCTAGTGCTATAAGGCTAATACAGTATGGAAAAGCCTGCTTTCTTTTGGTTTCTGTAGCCAGTTTATCATTGCCTTTGCTCAGTATACTAGGAGACTTAGGGACACAAAGATGAATCACTGGAAGGTTCTGTCTTCCAAAGAGGTTTGTGAAGAGAGTAAGACTTCACATACATTCTTCAATATCTATCTGTGTATATATAAACCTACAGAATACCTGTATATGTGATATAAGTGATCATAAGCACTGTCAGAATAGGGAATGCCTCTGTTCTCCGTTCTATGATCAGTATGTAATGTAGTATATTTAAATAGGAGATTTAATAAGTACACCTTGGAAAGAATTTATTAATGAATACTTGAATGCATTGATTTTTATCCAAGATACATCCATGGGATACTGAAATTTTTCCTAACCTTACTTGTTTCCCTTGTACCCAGGTAATTCAGCCATCATGGCTGTGTCTTTGCCACCAACCCTGGGACTCAGCTCTGCCCCAGATGAAATTCAGCATCCACATATTAAATTTTCAGAATGGAAATTTAAGCTATTCAGGGTGCGATCTTTTGAAAAGACCACTGAAGAAAATCAAAAGGAGAAGAATTCCTCTGAGGGGAAGCCCTCCCTTGAGCAATCTCCAGCAGTCCTCGACAAAGCTAGTGGTCAGAAGCCAGAAGTGGCTCCACCAGCATTCAAGGTCCACCCTAAGTTTTCAAAGAAATTCCATGATGATGGGAAAGCGAGAGACAAAGCAATCCACCAAGCCAACCTTCGACATCTTTGCCGCATCTGTGGGAATTCTTTAAAAACTGATGAACACAACAGGAGATACCCTGTCCATGGGCCTGTGGACAGTAAAACCCAAGGCCTTTTACGAAAAAAAGAGAAGAAAGCCACTTCCTGGCCAGACCTCATTGCCAAGGTTTTCCGGATTGATGTGAAGACAGATGTTGACTCGATCCACCCCACTGAGTTCTGCCATAACTGCTGGCGTATCATGCACAGGAAGTTTAGCGGTGCTCCATGTGAGGTTTACTTCCCAAGGAATGCGACCATGGAGTGGCACCCCCATGCACCATCCTGTGACATCTGTTACACTGCCCGTCGGGGTCTCAAGAGGAGGAATCATCAGCCAAATGTGCAGCTTAGCAAAAAACTCAAAACTGTGCTTGACCAAGCGAGACAAGCCCGTCAGCGCAAGAGGAGGGTTCAGGCAAGGATCACCAGCAAGGAGGTCATGAAGAAGATTGCCAACTGCAGTAAGATACATCTTAGTACCAAGCTCCTTGCAGTGGACTTCCCGGCGCACTTTGTGAAATCTATCTCCTGCCAGATTTGTGAGCACATTCTGGCTGATCCTGTGGAGACCAGCTGTAAGCATGTGTTTTGTAGGATCTGCATTCTGAGGTGCCTCAAAGTCATGGGCAGCTATTGCCCTTCTTGTCAATATCCATGCTTCCCTACTGACCTGGAGAGTCCAGTGAAATCCTTTCTGTGTATCTTGAACTCCTTGATAGTGAAATGTTCAGCACCAGAGTGCAATGAGGAGGTCAGCTTGGAAAAATACAATCACCACGTTTCAAGTCACAAAGAATCAAGAGATACTTTTGTGCATATTAATAAAGGGGGCCGGCCCCGTCAACATCTCCTATCGCTGACCCGGAGAGCTCAGAAGCACCGGCTGAGGGAGCTGAAGTTACAAGTCAAGGCTTTTGCTGACAAAGAAGAAGGTGGAGATGTGAAGTCTGTGTGCCTGACCTTGTTCCTTCTGGCCCTGCGGGCAAGGAATGAGCACAGACAAGCTGATGAGCTGGAGGCCATCATGCAGGGTCGGGGATCTGGCCTGCAGCCAGCTGTTTGCTTGGCCATCCGTGTCAACACCTTCCTCAGCTGCAGTCAGTACCACAAGATGTACAGGACTGTGAAAGCCATCACAGGGAGGCAGATTTTTCAGCCCTTGCATGCCCTTCGGAATGCTGAGAAAGTCCTTCTGCCAGGCTACCACCCCTTTGAGTGGCAGCCGCCTCTGAAGAATGTGTCTTCCAGCACTGATGTTGGCATTATCGATGGACTGTCAGGACTCTCCTCCTCTGTGGACGACTACCCGGTGGACACTATTGCAAAGAGGTTCCGCTATGATTCAGCATTGGTGTCAGCTTTGATGGACATGGAAGAAGACATCTTGGAAGGCATGAGGTCCCAAGACCTTGAGGACTACTTGAATGGCCCATTCACCGTGGTGGTGAAAGAGTCTTGTGATGGAATGGGAGACGTGAGTGAGAAGCATGGGAGTGGGCCAGCAGTTCCAGAGAAGGCAGTTCGTTTTTCATTCACAGTCATGAAAATCACCATAGCACACGGCTCACAGAATGTGAAAGTGTTTGAGGAAGCCAAACCTAACTCTGAACTGTGCTGCAAGCCGTTGTGCCTTATGTTGGCAGATGAGTCTGACCATGAGACCCTGACTGCCATCCTGAGCCCTCTGATTGCTGAGCGGGAGGCCATGAAGAGCAGTGAATTGATGCTTGAGATGGGAGGCATTCTCAGGACTTTCAAGTTCATCTTTAGGGGCACTGGATATGATGAAAAACTTGTCCGGGAAGTGGAAGGCCTTGAGGCTTCTGGCTCAGTCTATATTTGTACTCTTTGTGATGCCACCCGCTTGGAAGCCTCTCAAAATCTTGTCTTCCACTCCATAACCAGAAGCCATGCTGAGAATCTGGAACGCTATGAGGTCTGGCGTTCCAACCCCTACCACGAGTCTGTGGAAGAACTGAGGGATCGGGTGAAAGGGGTCTCAGCCAAGCCTTTCATTGAGACAGTCCCTTCCATCGATGCACTCCACTGTGACATTGGCAATGCAGCTGAGTTCTACAAGATTTTCCAGCTAGAGATAGGGGAGGTGTATAAGAATCCCAGTGCTTCCAAGGAGGAAAGGAAAAGATGGCAGGCCACACTGGACAAGCATCTTAGGAAGAAGATGAACCTGAAACCAATCATGAGGATGAATGGCAACTTTGCCAGGAAGCTCATGACCATCGAGACCGTGGAGGCAGTTTGTGAGTTAATTCCTTCCAAGGAGAGGCACGAAGCTCTCCGGGAGCTGATGGAACTATACCTGAAGATGAAACCCGTATGGCGCTCATCATGTCCAGCTAAAGAGTGCCCAGAATCCCTCTGCCAGTACAGTTTCAATTCACAGCGTTTCGCTGAGCTTCTCTCTACCAAGTTCAAGTATAGATATGAGGGCAAAATCACCAATTATTTTCACAAAACCCTGGCGCATGTGCCTGAAATTATTGAGCGGGATGGCTCTATTGGGGCCTGGGCAAGTGAGGGAAATGAGTCAGGCAACAAACTGTTCCGGCGCTTCCGGAAAATGAATGCCAGGCAGTCCAAGTGCTATGAAATGGAAGACGTACTGAAACACCATTGGCTGTACACCTCCAAATACCTCCAGAAGTTTATGAATGCTCACAATGCAGTTAAAAACTCTGGGTTTACCATGAACTCACAAGTGAGCTTAGAAGACCCATTGGGCATAGAGGACTCTCTGGAGAGCCAATATTCAATGGAATTTTAAGGAGGGTTCAACCACTTATGAGTTGGTTTTTACAATTTTCTTTCGGGTTACATTGAGACCTTCTCCTAGCACCCTTCACTACTGTGTGAGGGGCTTTGCCACCCAAGAGGTGGTAGGTTGGAGAGAGAGGTCAAGATGCTGAAACCATGCCAGGAATGGTTAATGATGAGCTGGTTGCTTGGGCTGTTTAGTGAGTTCAGAAAAGCAAAAGGAGATATCAGTTATTTGAAAGCTCACTAACTCAGAGCAGGAGTAGCTGCAGGGGACCAGAGATGAACAAAGATATGTGTGCATGCATGACTGAGTGACATGAAAATCAAAGTCAAGGTTGTCAAACAGCCAGTGAAGCCAGGAAAGGAATTTGTCTTGTGATTTTCATTTTCTTTGCTTGACTTATACATTCTGTATTGTGATATTGTATGTATTTTTATTCCATTTTTGTAGGACTCTTTTTTTTATAAATTTGACATATGCTGGCTTATTCTACAAGACTTAAAAGAGCTTTTTATGATTTTTCTAATAATATCTTACATTTGTATGGCACGAAAACTTTTGCAAGGTGCTCTCAACATATTTTCTCATTTGGTACATTTGTGTAGAAAAATATCCTACACCAAGAAAATTTTTGGAAAAATCAGTCCTTTTCAAAGTTTAAATGATATCTCTGTTGTGACCTTCAGGGTGTAAAAGGACTTTTCTCTCACGGATTTTTTCAATAATGAAGTTAGAAGAATATACTGGTTAGCCACAGCTAGCTAATAAATCTTCTGATAATACTTGTCATGTTTACTTAGTTATTGATAGTAAAATATGATTTTTTTATGTTTACTTTTTAATTTCAAGTAATTTAGAATCTCCAGATTCTTTCCCATACAATCTCAAGGCCACAGAGACTTTTTAAAAATCTGAAATTCTTTTTATAAAATCTGAATTTGTTCACTGCTTATAAACAAATTTAAGAGACTTTCTCTATGTGGAACCTGGGCTGATTTTACTAAACTCAGGTTTCATAGAGTCCTCTCCCTGCAGTGTGTTGTTCTTCCAATTAGGTTGTTTATTTTTTAGCATATTCAGATTTTTGTAGACTTTATTTTATACTGTTTTCTTGCTAAGTTTTGATAGAAACTGCCCAAGGTACAGAGGAAGAGATGACATTTGTACAGTGGTGGTGCTAATTTTTTTGTTTTTTTTGCTTGTTTTGGAGTGTTTTACACTCAATTTAGCCTTTTTTTGCCTCACTATGACTCTGTGGTGTAAGCATTGTTATTATCCCCATTTGAGGAAGAGGTAAAAGATTTTCCCAAAGTCACAGGGATAATAAAAACCTGATTTGGAATTTGAACCATGGCTTTTGGTCTCTAAATTCCATGTTCTTTCTACCACAAAAGCTAATCACTATCTTTGTCTATATGGTTGCATCAGAATTAGTTTAGGATCCGTAATTAGTAACTCCATTCGTAATCTTGGGATTACATTTTTGGGGGGCAGGAGAGGGGTAAGTTTTGAAGTCGTGTGTATGCTGTGGGCCATTGATAGAAGAAAGTAAAGTTAAAGCTGCAAGCAGCCCCCCTAAACTCCTGGTGGACCCAGTTATTTGGAAACTATTCTCTCTATGTTTAGGAATTTGGGATATGACAGTTGCTGGCACTTTAGAGCAGGCATGGGATTTTATATGCCAGTGAGTCATAATGATATGTTAGTGTTAATTAGTTTTTTTCTTGCTTTGATTTTATTGGCCATAATTGCCACTCTTCATACACAGTATATCAAAGAGCTTTGTAATTTAGTTGTCAAATGCGCATCAGTGACATTATCCTAAGTGTTATGCATTTGGTGCTTTTGCAAGAATTGAACTCAGTAGTTTCCTTTTAAAAATACAGCAATTTCCTTTGCTTTTTATATGCAGAATATCAAAGGCATTTACGATTTAGTCATCTATATATATATTTGAATATCACTTTTTCTTGAAAAAAATCTTAATTTTGCATTTTGAAAAATTAATGGGCTTTTAAGCCACTCCTTCCCTTCATCTCACTTAATCTTTACAGCACGTCTGTGCTCTGCACTAATAAACAGCTTAATTCATATAATCACCCCACTCCTTGAAGTATGCTAGTACTGGTTTGTAGATTCCTCCCTGCCTCCGCCTAGCTCCTTTCCACTTTGTTACTTGATTGGTGGCACTGTACATACTTTCCAGTATTAAATCCCCCTTTTCTAGCATTGTGGGAACTATTTTGAATGCAGGGGCCTAAAAGCATGATTTATGGCACAACCTTCCCAATAATCCCTTAATCAGATCACATTCTGACAAATCCCAGGAACATCTGGCCTCAGGAATTTCAATATGTAGAAATGCTGCCTGTGGTTGCTTTCAGCCCTCATTGTTGAGATTGCAATAGCCTAGACCCTGGTTCTATGCTCAAGCTTTATTTTTAACAATGCCCATTGCAAATGCAGCCTAACACCCCAGGGAAATTCACCGCACTGAACAGAGCATTTTTTTTTGAAGTATGGACTGGGACTTTAGGAGCGCAATGCATTTTTCTCTCGTGAAACCTGATTCTACAAGTTTTCCTGCCAAACCACTGAGGTGCGCTGCAGGGACCAGTGATAATGGCTGATGAAAATTGATGAATGGTTGGTGCGAGGTCAGAAAGCTCCCTGGGATTAATAAACATGCACTGAGAAGTCAGAGCAGGAGGAAAGATGTCTTTTCCTTCCAGGTGAACTGGAATTTAGTTTTGCTTCAATTTGTTTTCAGAAAATATAGATGGAGATAAAGATTTTTTTTTTTGCTTGCGAATATGAGTCTCGCATTACATCAAACAGAATTCAAATTCCACACAGCTAGGAGGCAGGATTTGCAAGCCCCAGTGGTGGGTGGGAGAATAAGCCATCATTTGGATACAAGAGGTGTTTGACTGCAGATATGTTTGTGTCTTCAGTTAAGGTATGACAAGAAGTCTGTTTGCTTAATGCTAAGGATTTTAAGTAACGGAGGATACTTTATACACATTTTACTTTTATCTCTTTATAGCAATCTACATAAATATACCTCAGAATTCATTTTTGATGAGATGTTGCTGTTTGTGGCATTGCACTTCACTTTATTTTCTTACCGAAAAATCTTTATATTTTGTTTCAATGGCTTCCAAGAGCCTTTATTTTTTTTTTCTGTTTCAGGGAAAGTTCAGGTACCAGGATGCAATGAATTTATCTGATGCTCAGAGGACCTGTATTTCCATGTCAAACATTTTCAAATTGCAATAATTATCATATTTTAATATTTACACTCATTAATATTATCATTATTGTTAACTTTATGTTTAAGTATTTGAAATAAAAGCTTAAGAATTGAAAATAGTGGGTGTTGTGATTTATATTGTTATACTGTCATTTATCAATAATAGCGAGTGTAGTCCTTGAAAACAAGCATCTGTTTCCTTGCACAATAAATGCGGTGATATTTGGAATAAAGGGCAATAGAATAGGGACATAGAGTATAATTTATCCTAATTTAGGATGAGACAACTTGTTCCCCTTGGAATAGTAAATGGTAAACCTTTTAATCTGTTTTTTAAAACTCCCTTGTGAATCTGGTGACAATATGGGCCTGTTTTCTAGAAAATTCACACCATTGTATACTTCAGACTGCGGTCAGAATTGTTGACTTGTCCAGGACCACTTAGATAATGGCACATCTGGCTAGAGCCCAGATTCTTTTGTCCAGTGTTTTTAGTAAAAAAAAAAAATAATAATAACTACCATTTACTAAGCATGTGTGTGTGTGTGGCAAGATTTTATATGTACTTTCTCATTTAATCCCTCTGAAGTGGGTACTTCCATTTTCCCCAATGTCACTCATGAGCTCATGGAAGCCTCTCTCAATGAGAAAACGATAGATCCACATCTTCACATGTTTCCTTCCAGTCACCTTTGTGTTACTCCTTCACCTCCTCACCATCCACACATTTTCTAGTATCTCAGCCCCTCTTTGCTGGAGGCTTCTGGGCTCCTTTTCAGTGAAGGCTGGGCTTGTCTGACTGAATCACTACAGCTGTAACAATTTGTAAAATACTGAAATCTGCCTGTCCTTGTAGGTAAATAGCCTGCACCCAAGGCCCACATGCCCTTTGCTACACTGGCTGCCCCATCCCATCCTCCAAGAGCAAATCCAAGAGGTCAGCTCCTGGCACAGGGAAGAGGACTTTCTGGACCTGGAGTTTTGTCTATTTTAATATTACCCTGCCATTGAGAATGGAGCATCTCGTTAGCTTTTAGGGGCAAGCTAAAGTCTGCATCCTTCTCAGTATCCTTTCCAACTACTCCAGCTTATATTTTAAGCAAATATTAGCAGGGTGCTTTCTATGAGTAGGCACTGGAGACACAGCAATGAACAATATGCTCAAAAGAGCTAGGGAGACATAGACATTAAATCAAGAATCTGTGTAGGTAGGTGTCATGAAGGAAAAACACTATATGTGATCAAAATCCCATAGGTGCACTCTGAAGTACACTAGGACAATAGAATTTAAACTCAGGGGTCAGAGAAAGAAGGAGTATCTGAGTAGAGACGGGTCTCATGACTGGGATGAGGTCAAGTGAGTTCCCCAGGGTGGTAGACGTGGGGCAGATTCAGCCAGTGGGGAGGAGAGCAATTGGTGCTTAGAACAGAAGGAAGCTGGGGCCAGTGCTGTGGCATGGTGGGTAAAGTTGCTGCTTGTGGTGCTGACATCTCATGTGGGTGCTTGTTCGTGTCCTGGGTGCTCTACTTCTGATCCAGCTCCCTGCTAAATGTGCTTGGTAAAGCAGCACAGGATAGCCCAAGTGCTTGGGCCTCTTGCACCCATGTGGGAGACACAGAAGAAGCTCCTTTGCTGAAATTAAATTTCAATGTACAGTAAAAAAGATGCATGACATAATGTGAGTTGAGTTATGAAAAAGTGAAGATAGCTTTATTTCTTGTACTTTGGAGTATCTAAGCTAAGACCGTAAGTACTATATTCTAGGAGGGAGAGGAGTTTGGAGAAGGCTTTCTGGAGGAGAGGAAGTATCTAAACAGGAATAGAAAGAATGAATAGGATGGACTAGACTATAAGCAATAGTTTCAAGGTGCAAAAGGGAAGATACTCCCTACAGAAGAGTAGTGAGGCTGAGTGATAACCCAGCAGGGAACAGGTCAAGATGGACCGTATATACTCAAAATGAGTGATTTATCTCTTTGGCAAACGATGTACTTTGTTTTATCAATCTAAAATCTGTCAAAATAGAATAATATCCAAATGATTAAATATCATCTACAAATCTGATCTTACAATTTGACCTTTAACAAAACATGAGATTAAATATCTTTATATCTTCTAAATGAGAATATTTTACTGAGCATTTTTGTAACATTAATTCATGACCTTCTTCCTTTCAACCCATATACAATATTTTTATGCAGTACTTGGTGATGTTTGGCTTAGAGTCTGTGTTTGTTGCTTGGGATTTATTATATGAAATCTCTGGTAAACAGCAATAAACCCTTCTTCTTAAATAATTGTTACTCAGAGCATCTGGATTTATTTTACAGTGATAGAGAGTAATGAAATGATTTTTTAAAAAAATTTTACTTGTTTGAGAGGTAGGATTACAGACAGAGAGAGGGAGAGACAGAGAGAAAGGTCTCCCATCTGCTAGTTCACTCCCCAAATGGCCGCAACGGCTGGAGTTGGGCTGATCTGAAGCCAGGAGCCAGGAGCTTTCCAGATCTTCTACATAGGTCAAGGGGCCTAAGCACTTGGGCCTTCTACTGTTTTCCCAGGCCATGGAAGAGAGCTGGATTGGAAGTGGAGCAGCCAGAACTCGAACTGGCACCCATATGGGATGCTGGCATTGCAGGCGGAGGCTTTAGCCCACTACACCATAGTACCGGCCCCATGAAATGATTTTAAGCCCATAAATAAAAACTGTATATGTCTATGTTATTTTTTTCCATTTATAGTAATATGTTTGACCCTTATAACTGTTCTCTGAGTGATGCAGAATATGATTTTATTTCACTGGTGAAAAGCTGGTGGCCCTGCCCCTTGTCTACTTCCCAGGCTCACGACACCCATATTCCACTCATTTACCATGTTTTAACCAGAGTGGCCTTTCAGTTCCTTAATTTTACAAGTGTCATCTTACCCCAGGGTCTTTGCACTGTTCCTTTTTCATTATTACTTCTCTTCCCCTAAAATATTAGACTCACCTGTATTTGTGGATGATTGTAGTCTGTTAAAATGATGACCTTAGAAAACCATATACTTTCTCTTGATACTGTTCTTGCACTCCTGTGCCAACAATTTTGGGACTTACCTTTAGAATATATTTATAAGTCATATAAAAAGCAGTTTTTTAGCTTGTACTCATGCTTTGTTCCGACCAAAGATGGTAACATAATACTGAGAGTTATACCCTTCTAAGCTTTGAATGACATTTATTTGTTTCCAGTAATTAAATACTGTAAGGGAGGAAGAGGGACAACTGGTTAACATCTTCACAGAAATAAGCCATAGATTCTGAAGGTGATTGAAACATGAGCCTCTGACAAAAGCAAAATTGTTGGAATAAGTGCTTAGTCTTCTGATGTGACCCATTTGAATATTTGCATGAATGTACAAGAAAAGCAATCTCATGATCTTAGTCACATCTGATGAACTCCCTGGAATGATGACTTAAAAAAAAAGACCTATTTTTTTTTCTGTATTATAAGGTCAGTGTCTTCATTCATTTTCTGTTGCTGTAACAGAAAAGCAGAAAATGGATAGTGTATAGAGAAATTAGATTCATTCTGATTCAAGTTTCTGAGGGCTGGCAGGCTCCTTCACGTACGGCAGAATACAAGGGAGTGATGTGGAAGAGCGCACCTGTGTAGAAGAGAATACAGAGATGTCCTGCTCACTTCACAGCCACTCCTCTGTGTTAACCATTTCAGTCCTAAGACAGTGAGAAGGCATTCTTCAGAGACCTGACTCACTCCCAGGAGAAAAGAAGTAGTTCTTCTTAAAGACCTAACAACCTCTCAAAGACATTACCTCCCAACACTACCACATTGGGGATCAAGTCTCAGCAGAGATTTGGTGGGTCAAATCCTTTTAAAATCCTGGCAGTCAGTAAAGCCATCTCTCTCTCTCTCTCTCTCTCTCTCTCTCACACACACACACACAACTGTGCTTGTAAGATCGGAGTTTGGTTATAAAACTCAGTCATTTCACAATGGAGTCATTTAGGTTACCATATCTTGATCTCACACACACAAAAATATTGGGTGACAATTCTTTTTTTTATCATTTTTAAAAACTTTTATTTAGTAAATATAAATTTCCAAAGTACAGTTTATGGATTACAATGGCTTCCCCCCCCATAAACATAACTTCCCTCCCACCCACACCCCTCCCATCTCCTGCTCCCTCTCCCATTCCATTCACATCAAGATTCATTTTCAATTATCTTTATATACAGGAGATAGATTTAGTATATATTAAGTAAAGATTTCATCAATTTGCACCCACACAGAACATAAAGTGTCAAATACTGTTTCAGTACAAGTTATAGCATTAATTCACATTGGACAACACATTAAGGACAGATCCCACATGAGGAGTAAGTGCACAGTGACTCCTGTTGTTGACTTAACAATTTGACACTCTTGTTTATGACATGAGTAATCTCCCTAGGCTCTAGTCATGAGTTGCCAAGGCTATGGAAGCCTTTTGAGTTTGCTGACTTTGATCTTATTTAGACAAGGTCATAATCAAAGTGGAAGTTCTCTCCTCCCTTCGGGTTACAATTCTTTAGCCACTAAGTCACTGCAGGCAAATCAAGAGAATGCATCTACTTCTCGGGGAAAAATCTCTTTTGGACCCTGTAAAGGATATTTTAGCTCCAATTTAAGCCACTTGCTACTAACAAATAGAAAATAAATCAAAGTGGAGTAAGTCTGAGAAAACTAAATAGGTTGATTTGCCTTTATAGGCAATTCCAAATGTTAATAATTTGAGTAAATCAATATAAACACAAGACTTTATATTTTATTATTTTCTTGTAAGTGATAGAAACAATAAAAATAAAATCTATGTACAACCATTTGTTCAAAAGAAATATTCATCAAGTAACATTATTTAAACATATTAACTGTGATTTAGTTTATTTAAGTTAACTTCATTGTATGGAACACAGCAGTTTTAGCAAAAGAACTTGTACTCCATGGTTTCATCTCTTGAATGGTTCATGTTTCCCTAACCTTGGTAACAGAATCTTACACGTTGTGGGACTCTCAGTAAAGAATGACGAGTAAGAAGCCATGATTGAAGATCTTAGGATAAGGTTAAATGTTTTCCCAAAAAGTCCTCTGGCGGGGGGGGAGGGAGATATTTGTTTCTAAGGTCATCGAATTATCAACTGATGTATTGATGCCTCAAAATTAACAGTCCTTTTAAGAACTCAGCAAGTGTCTAATTGAATGTTGGCAAGTTCACTGATTTTGTAACATTCACTGGCAGCATAACTCCACATTAATGAATACACATACATTTTCCCCATTTAAAATCTCCTGCCTGAATATCTTCTATGAATTTTTAAAAGCTTTTATTATTTTTGGAAATAGTCAATATTATTCTTTTCCGTGAGATTTATTTGATGGTTCCTAGTGCATTGTCACTCATTTCCTTTCTCTAGAGTGCTAAGTTGCAATGGATTTCAGAATCTTTTGGTGACAGTTCTCTCAAATAATTGCACTGGTTTTGGCAAATCATCTGTGCATCACATATTAGGGAGGAGGCAGCTGAAGAAAGTAGATGCATGAAAATGTACTAAACCTCGTATATATTTCTCATTTCTTCCATCAGTGGATCTATATTTGTATCTGAATCTATCTCTATCTCTATATCTACATTCGCATCACCTGTACATTGGCATAATCCAATGGGATATAGATATATAAAAATCACTAATATGGAATACAATTAATATTAGTTTTAATTTTTTGCAACCACCAACATGCTATACTGTGCAAAATCTGAGTAATTCCTTTGGGGAATTAATTCCTATTGGTTAAATTTGTCTTAACTGTTTCATAGAGTATTTGTTACCAAAAATCATATTAGATATATAAACATAACTTGATTATTACTAATGCTTCTGTGTTTAAGATTGCTTGAATGAAAAATTCAGATAAGAAATTTATATTTTGGAAATTTCATATTAAGAGAAATATTTTCAAAATGAATAGGTCCTAGAATGATTATATTTAGCATTGCATTAAAACACTTTTCCTAGAACTAATTCATATAACTAAAAGAAAGCACAGGCATTTCCAATAAACAAAAATACAAATATAATGTTGATCATTGTCAAGGTTTTGAAAGATAGGTTTAAAAGCTTAATGTGCATGGATCTGAAAAGTTTTTGCAAAATTAGTCAAACAACCGTCTAAGAAAGGATTTCTTGGCAGGAGTCAAGATTTTCCCAGAACCTTTCTTGTGGAGGGATTTCATTGGGGGCTTTCTTAAGGGTATGGTTCTTTTGGGAGTTTGTAGCGCTCTTGCTATCTCCACATGCTCATTACAATAATACTTGTTGCTTCCTTCTGACAGATGGATGAGGGTACGTTCTGCCAGATCCATGCACTTGGCATGGACCCAGTGCCCATCTCCATGAGAACAGTAGATCATGGCAGGCTTGTTGAGCTCAGTTGAATAGAATGGCACCCAAGTGTTAATGTCCACATCACAAGTAGGGCAGCAGGTAATCCAGTAGCCTGTCTCAGACTCATCATCTTCATCATCTTCATTATAAGTGTCAAATTCATCATCGCCATCAAAACTATTTGCTTCTGCACTGAAACAAAATTCTTCCGAGTCCTCAAAGGGAGTGGAGTCCCCTGGATCTTCTGTTGATGTCTGACTATTTGTGAAAGTTCTCTGATCTTCATGCACATCATCTTCACTACATTTCAACATATAGAAATAAAATGCTTCTGAAACAATCTGTTTATTGTCTCCTGGGATGCCAAGGAAAACGGATCCATTTCCCATGTTGCTTCCAAACCATATTTTGCTGTGCTTAATATCTGGAGTCCAATCTGGGGTCTCCATCTCTTGAATTTCAATCTTGTTATCCTCTAAAGAGACAATGTTGCAGACCATTCTTTTTTGATTTTCAAGCTGATACCCACCAACGATAACAAATTCATCATTGTTAGTCTGAGTCAGGATTGCACTGGAGACAGAAATTCCTCCTGGCAAAACTGTGCAATTTATGGCTGGGCTACCCAAGGGGAGATCAACCCTGATTCTGTACAGATTGGCAGGGCGGATATTATTGGCAAGAGAATGTCCTCCTAAAATATAAACGGTATCATTTCTGGCAATGGAGACATGAAATGATAGCCCATCCTGAAGCTCTGGAAGAATGTAGGATGTGGCACATCCAAATTCAAAATCCACCAAGAAAACATGGGGCAGGCAATCAGCGACGCTATTCCATTTTTCTGTGGTTCTTTGATTAGAAGGCATGTATGACCGTCCTCCAAAGAGAACTCCCATACTTTTTCCTCGACTGTACACCACATCAAGGGAATGACCATATCTGGCTTCTGGAACATCTCCTACCAAGTCTCTTTCTGTGCAGCGAAAAGTAACTTTTTTGTTGTTTTTGCAAACAACAGACATGACATAAATCTTATCAGAAAGCTCATTGTTTGGTGTTTTCCCTCCGTGGATGATATATTGTTGTTTTTCAGACTCTGAGCTGCCTTGGAATGTGCAAGTGGCTGGGTAACGGAGAGGAGGAAGATAGCAGGAATCCTTAGAGAAAACTGCTGGCTTCAGTTTGAGATGGTTCTGTTTTATATCAAAATGAAAAACTCCAGTGGGGCAGGATCTCTTGGGCCATCCTTTTTGGCCAAAGAAGAAAATTTGCCCATCAAAATTCATCAGTGAGAAGCCTGGTTGAATTAAGGCTATGTTATTCCTGACTGTTATCATCTGCAGCGACATGTTTTCGGATTGTGTGTAGATCTTTTACCTGAAAGATTAACAAAATAAAACGACTTAGAGTATCTTTTCATATACATCACTGTGTTTAGATCCCCTCACATGGAGAAATCATGTTAAAAAATAGTGCTCTTCCATGTTTGCAGTGAGCAAAATCCAGCTAGTTCGAGGAGCAAAGAGACCCAGAACCTTCCCGCCTAATACAACTTAAGTAGCTGGGACAGGTTTTAGACAGGGACTATCCTCCCTGAGATTTCTGGGAATTGTAGTCTTTTTCCTTAAGGAATCACTACGCATCCGTCGAAAGAACTCCATTTCCCAGGAATCCATTCTCTGTGTAGCTACCATAACTTGTCTTTGTTGCTCCAGGAACGCAGACTTTTTAGGATGTCTGACTAAAGACGCGAAAAGTGTGAAATGACTAAATGGCAGCCAAGGCGGAAAACTAGGGACTGGGAGGTGAGAGTGACTGACACAGACCGAACGGCCGGGGCACGGGAGGGCTGCCGCACCAGGAGGAGGACGGCCAAACCCTGGCCGGGTGTTGCGGGAGCCCCTCGTGGGGAGCCCTAACAAGGTGACCAAGTAGGCTGCGCGACTGCTGACGGCCGGAGTGCGGTTGCCTGGAAACCGCGCTCTGACCCGACAGCACGGCTGAGGTGTCCGACCTTGGCGCTCAGCTCAGAATTGCTCCACCGAGGATCCGAGGGCTGCTGGGGCAGGAGGTTGACCGGGCACCGAGGTTACCGAACGTTACAGAGGTTAACGTTGGGTCTCTGAATAGCCAGAGTGCGGCAAGAAATGGCCCGATGATTGATTTTTTTAAACTACTGTATCTAGTAGTTTATCTACAATCTAGACCTTGGCGAGGGACGCTTTATTAACCGTCGTTTCTCCTTTTTTGGATTCTTTTAGGGGAGCAGAGAATGTTCTTAAACACATTTCCCCCTCCTTCTGGTCTTGCTAGGAAAATAGAATTCTTGGTAATTTATTTCAGGCCTCTTTCCAGCCCGAGAACTTAGAGATAATTGGTTAGTAATTCTGTAGTAAGCAGACTCTAAGCAAAGAGGTGCCAGATTCACTCAGGACTTCACGTCTGTATTACAGCGTTGAAAAAGGTGTTCATCAGATGAAGTCAGTGTGACAACTGTTTGTTACTTACCAAGTACCCTTCCTGTTTGCAGAGTGAATGACATCTAGGCACAAAGTGTTAAGGGAAGCGAAATAGCACAGATTCCTTGACTCACGAATAGATTGTTAATTTGCTTAAAAGTAGTACAAAACAGCTAAAGAGTGCGAACTGACTAGATTCTGGCTCTCTTACTAACTGCATGTCTTTGGGAAGTTATTTAATCTCTCTGAAGTTGTTTCCTCATCTGTAAAACCATACAATCTTGCCCATCTCATAGATTGATGTTGGTTATGATTAGCACTTCAGTATATGGAAAACACTTAGGGCATTGCTCACTGTAAACGCTGGTGATGCGATTATTCTTGAACTTTTCAGAAATAGGGTTTCTGATGCATGATTACCTGCCAGTAATGGCAGCTGATATTTCTAATGTTAGAGTTGGTTAGAGAGTGTGTTAGGATCTGGGAATAGGACAGTGGGTAAAGAAAGTTAGTCTCCGGAATAATAAGAAATGAATAAATATGTTTCATGACAGTGCTGGAGGGAATTCAGTTTAAATAAGAGGAGCTACCTCGTTCCTCTTGTGATCTGTTCTGTAACCCTTATTACATATGCAGCCCCTAAAATTGGATTCTTTCAATCCAAATCTGGGGCTCTGATAGTGTCACCACCTTGAGCAAGTTACTTCCTCTTAGTTCTTTTTTATCTGCAAAATGGGAATAATGCTCGTACCTATCCCTTGGGTTGTTTTGAGTAATAAATGGGATCATGCATGTAAATCACATAGCATAATGCTTGCCATCTAACAAGTAGTCAATAACTGTTGAGACCATAATTTACTTTAATGCCATCTGAAAAGCTTACATGGTGCATTAAGAATTTGTGGTCTGAGGAGATGGTGGTGGTATTTTTTTTTTCCTTCTGTAGACTAGATGTAATTAATTGCTTAATAATTTCTTGTACTTGTGAGTTTTAGCTTATTTAGAAGAGTCTTCAAAGTGTAATTTTTAAATAATAATCTTATGGATTCTTAAACCAAGTGAGACAGTAATGATTGACAAGGATCATCACTAAAGTCATGCTAGCAAGTCTTTCCCTTCTTCAGACCATGGTAGTCTGTAGGTTCAGCTACTTACCTGAAGTGAAATACTCTGGGAAGATGTTTGTTTGTGGCCTATCCAAATATTCATAAGGGGAGGCATATGAGAAGCTAAGAAAACGTGATCCATAGGAACTGAAAGGAAACAGTGATGAATCTCAGTCCAGTTGGTGGTCACACTCAGCATGGTGAGTGAGTGTGCTCATGATCACCCTGTTTTGGGTGGACAGAGCGCCAAAGCTAAAGCCTGTTTGTTTCAAACATCCACAAAGACCTACAGTGGGCTAAAAATAGGCCATAAAGGGGTAATGGATTCCAAACACAAAGGGGTTATCCAACACTGGCTTTTCAACTGCCAACTTTAAGAAAAAATGTTTTCATTGTAGCCTATTGGCTTCATCTTAAAGTTGGCATAGAGGTTTCAGCTTTTTATCTGTGAAGACATGATTATTGTAGATTAAATAGAAACATTCTTTTGGGCAGGACATAAGAAAGATGGTGTGTTTTTGTAGCTTAGTCCAGATCCATAACTATTTTTAAAATAGAGCTTTGGACCTGTTCTAATGCTCTTTTATCTCATTTTGTAATTTCAGGGCCCTAAATGTGGTGGTAAAGTTTACTACTGCTGAGATGAGTTACCTCCTCTTGTAACACAGTCTGTGTATTTAATTTTTAGATTATCCTTTTTAACTAGATGTATTATGTATTTAAAGAATAAACAGGAACACTTGTGTTTTCACATTGTTTTGCCATATTTAGTTATTGAAATTTTGTTTTACTGGCTTGAATATGTTTTCAGTGGAACAGCTATTGTATTTGTTCCACGGCTATAATGTGAGTATACTAGTCACATCTTGGTTTTTAAAGAGTTTTTAAAAGATTATCCTAGTCCTAAAATAACCTACTAAAGGGGTTTTCTTTAAATAGACTAGTCAAAGAGTTTTAAAAAATAAGACACTGTTCTTCAGCTCAAGGAAGTTTCAAAGTCAACACATTAAAGATTCTTTTTAAAAGACAGGCATATAGGACCAATAAACTTACACAATTTTCCCAACCCCATGCCAACATCCCTCAGCAGGGAGATTCTCATGTATTCACTCTGAAGCAAGGGCATAGTTGAGAATCAAAAGAGGACTAATGTTGTGAGGGCTGGGTTTGTAGTTTCTTGTGTCTGAACTGACTTCTATTCCCACAGAAAGAGGCTGTACTCTGAAGCCTTGCATCTTACTGATCTGTGTTGCCTATACTTCCAGATTGCTCCAAAAGAGCAAGCAGCCTCATGTAATTGCAGGTATTTAGTGCTTGAATCAACACTGTCTTGCATGGTTAATCAGTTTGGAAGCAAACTAAATTTGATTTTTTTCTGGCATTAAAGCCAGGCCAGGTCTTTCTTCCTACACTTATGTCAGAGAAGAATTTGTGTGTGAACATGAATAATACTGTTGTGAAGTCATAGGAATTAATTCCTGGCAGCAGCCTGAGAACAGGAAGCCCCACATTTTCCAAATTCTACATTACCCTTTCCCCATCTAGACACCCAGTCCAGCAGTGACTAGCGCTGCTGAAGTGTGACATCACCGTTCCCTTAAAGTTTACAAACACAGGCTCCCATCTTTTAGCTTTCATAGAAATGAAGGTATTGGACCTACCTGAAGGCCAGAGGGACTGCTCCCCCCTCTCTGAATCTTTGCAGCTAAAGCAGGTATTAAATATCAGCACTTGGGGAAGATTCACTGAATGCCCACTGTGACTGCAGCAGGCAGAAAGCTGATGGTGAGGAGAGGGTGTGTATGTCTACCAGATGTTCCAGTGAACACTGATCTAATGGGAGTAACTGACTGTGACCTTTTTTTTTTTTTTTCTCTCACTCTAGATGTTTGAGGGAGATATTCACCGGGGTGTAACCTCAAGGTTTAACCATTTCATTACTTGCAACAATGGAAACACAATTCATTATTTGCAAAGATTAAAAAAAAAGAGTATGGGTGAGACTTGGTGTATTAAAATTAGAAACATTTTAGAAAAATAGAAAAAATGAAATAATTACTGTGGTTTAAAGAAGCGTTATTGTGACCCTAAAGCAGAGACCACTAATACCAAAGCTAGTCATTTTAACTTTGAATTGCTCTTCTTTGTTCTCATCTTCTTTAATGCTAGACTCAGAAAGAAAGAATTCTGATTATGGGAGGTCTTGTGCTGGCAGCTCCTGTGTATTGATTAAGATCATGAGGTTTGAGGTTTGGTTGACTTGATTTCCTCTGCCAATTCTGCCATTTTCCAGGGATTTTTCTTCACCTGTAAGGCTTTGTTTCTCCATTTCTGAAATAAGGATAATAGAAATACTTACCTCAAAAGAAGGTTGGGAATAGATTAAATGAGAAAATATATGGAAAACCCGCAGGCAAGGAAGATACCTAGATTGCACAGTGATCATGAGAGCAGAAGTTATCTGTAGGGCCCGGGCTGTGGCATAGTGGGTTAATCTGCTACTTGCAGGGCCGGTATCAGATGTGGGTGCCCGTTTGAGTCCCGGATGCTCCACTTCCAATCCAGCTCCATGCTAATGCACCTGGGAAAGCAGCAGAAAGTGGCCCAAGTGCTTGGCCCCTGTACCCAGGTAGGAGATCCAGATGGAGCTCCTGGGTCCTGGCTTTGGTCTGGCCCAGCTGTGGTCATTGCAGCTGTTTGGGGAGTGAACCAGCAGGTGGAAGGCTCTCTCTGCCTCTCCCTCTCTGTAACTCTGCTTTTCAAATAAATAAATAAATCTAAAAAAAGTTATCTTCATAATTTTAATAGTTGTGTGACAATTCACTAAATAAGTGAAGCACAATTTACCTGACCACCCACTATTACTGTTCATTTAATCAGTTTCCATGTGGGCTGAATTATAGTGTGTAGTGATCAGAGGAAAGCAAACTTGGGTTTGAGTCTCAGTTCTGTCACTTACTAGCTGAGTAACCTTTTAAAAAATTATTTGTTCGAAAGGCAGAGAGAGATTGATTGATTGACTTTCTATCTGTTGGTTCAGCCCCAAAAGCTTACAACAGCCAGGGCTGGGCAGGGCTGAAGCTGGGACCTGGGACCTTGATCCAAGTCCCCCACATGGGTGGCAAGGAGCTAACTACTTGAGCCATTATCTGCTGTCTTCCAGAGTGCACATTAGCAGGAAGCAGGAATCAGGAGCAGAGCCAGGCACTCTGATAATGGATGTGGGTGTCCCAAATGGCATCGTAACCGCCGTGCCAAATGCTTACCTCTAGTATAAGTACTGGATATGACATAGCTGGTATATAGTGTTTATATAGCACATCTTGCCTAATGATGCTTTGTGCTTTGGCACCTGTGCTTTACGCCTAATGATGATGCTGTAAACATATTTGTATATGACTATTTTAATGTTGATAAAATTAATTTAAAGTTGACACATTGGATATTTTCAGTCAACATAAAATAAGAAATGCAAAATGGGAACCATAAGTAGGGTTAGGCAAGTGGTTTAGACTTTGGATTTTTTTTTTTCATTATTTTTTTATTTTTTGACAGGCAGAGTGGACAGTGAGAGAGAGAGAGAGAGAGACAGAGAGAAAGGTCTTCCTTTTTTCTGTTGGTTCACCCCCCAGTGGCCGCTGCGGCCAGTGCGATGCGGCCAGCGCACCGCGCTGATCTGTAGCCAGGAGCCAGGTGTTTCTCCTGGTCTCCCATGCGGGTGCAGGGCCCAAGCACTTGGGCCATCCTCCACTGCACTCCCGGGCCATAGCAGAGAGCTGGCCTGGAAGAGGACCAACTGGGACAGAATCCAGCGCCCTGACCCGGACTAGAACCTGGGTTGCCGGTGCCGCAGGCGGAGGATTAGCCTATTGAGCCGCAGCGCCGGCCTAGACTTTGGATTTTACTAATATCAAAAACCTGGCAATTTGTATATAGAACAATTATTTGCTGAATGGGTTAGTTGTCTTCCCCAGGAGACTGGAAATTAGGACACTAGTCTCCTGTTATCCATGGCTTCACTTTCAACAGTTCTAGTTATCCTAAGTCATCCGTGTTCTGAAAACATTGCAGTGGGTTGAGTGGAGGCAGAGGAGAAACTGCTCCTGGGGCTCATGACAGTGTGTTTTAAGAGCCACAATGCATGTCTCAAACATTTCCATCTGCATTTAATAAATGGAGGAACCACTTAAGCTTTTGTGTCAGTGAGTTAAGTGTTTGGAATAAGGTCAGTGGCAGGTTTTCATAGCATTAGGATAGGCATAAACACTTTATATCCTTTTGATAAGTGGATAATTTTTAAGGAAGTAATGTAGTGTTGGAAAGCAAGGTGTTTGGCTTGTTGAGTGAAGTCCTTAGTAGAAGCCCCAGCTGAAACTGGCAAAGAAGAGAAAAGAGGAAGGAAAAGGAAATAAATAGAAGTAAGCCATCTGCAAGTTAGCATGATGGATTGTCAAGAGAAGAAAATAACACTGACCATTTTCTATATAAAGCAATGAAGTATGGCTCCTGAACAGAATGATTCTTATTTTCCATGCTCTCTGATTTAAGATGGTTTGTTTAAAATAAAATGGAGAAAGGTTTCAGGAGTTTTATAATGTTGTGCTAGGAAAAGTTTACTTACAAATTTTATTTTACAGAAGGAGTGTTTTCTCTCTTTGAGAATAGAAGTTGTATTGGCAAAAAGAAATAATACCAGGGGACTTCAGAAATTTTGTGGGAAAATGGAATTAAAAGGTAAGTCTATTTTGGTGCAAAAAATTTAAATCCATGCATAGTGTCTTAAAAAAGTTCATGGAATGTGCATATTATGAAAGAATTATGATTGGCTCTTAAGTTTATTTTTGCACCAAAATAAGGTTGTATATACTGAGGTAAATTGCAAATAAAGTGTTAAGAAAAACTGGAAGCTGGGAAGCACTGTGTTATCTCTTAAAGCCCATTTATTATTCTATAGTCATAGGAATTTAGAATTAAAAATAGATAGGAAACACGTCTCGAATCTTATTTCTTTTAAGAGAATGTCAAATGAAAAGGTCGATTTTATTTGCAAGATCTGACATTTTGAAACACTTAAAAATGAATTCCTATAGGCAGAGTTGATTTAATTCAGTTGGTCTACACCTGCTCCTTACCAGCTGTGTAGGTTTTGCTTTGAAGTAGGCCTTTTGGTTAAAAAAATTAAAAAAGTTCTGTGCAGTGTGCAGGTGGTTGACATGCTCAGGAAGTTGGACAGCAGGGGATAACTTCAGAATGGAAGCCTTTGTTCCATGTTTGTTGCACAATACAGATAAAAAAGCATTAATGGGATATTGCATACCATGTGAAGATGTTATATTTGATCTGATATATCTTGGATGATCAAAATATTATTCTGGGACTCTATGGCTATACACTGCATGCAAAGACCTTACTGCCTGTGGAGTCACAGTTTTATCAAGGCCTTGAGAAAAAGTTCACTGAAATACCGTTATTGTCCATAAATCATCAGTATATTTGGTACATTTCTGACAGGAGATCAGTTTTGAGCATGAAGGATACACATGTGTGGTAGATTTTTCTTGATAAATATAATAATCCAGAGGTCCATTAGTATACTTTCAGGAATTTTTTTAGGGGGTGAAGGTATTGTGTTGTGATTATACAAGGCAGTCTTAAAAAAAAAAAACTCATAAAATGTGCATTGTCTTTTAGTTCCCCTTTTCCATGAAGCTTTTGAAGTTTACTCACACACAACTCTAAATTTCAGAAAAGTAAATGAAGAAACAAGAATGGTGATGATAGGGCAGTTTTCCTGATTTCAGACAGTAAATTTTCTGAGATTTGTTTTATGAATGTATCAACAGATTCACTGTACATAGTTAATTTATTTTTTAAAAATGATAGGCAACAGGTAGAGAGAAAAAGTTCAAATACTTAACTCTTTGCATTTGCCTTTCTTTAATGGGATTTATAACTGTGTAATTGAAAACAATCTAATAGTTAGTTGACCTGCCTTAGTGAGTCAGCACAGACGTCTCTGGATTGACGTAAACAGCTAGGAGGAAGAATATATTTTGGGGAAATAAAATTGATTTTATGCATTCTGCTGATGAACAGAAAAGCTTAATGAATGATACCCTCAAGAAACCTCATTACAGTAGATTGGATGGATGAACAGGAAAGGGAAGCAAATTTTTGAAGATGAAAATTTTTGCTTAAGCATGTAATTTTTTTTAGAGCAATGGTGATATAATTGAAAGTATATAGAGATTTTTGTTTCTCAAATACAAATTTTCCTTCTAATATAATAGTTTTTATCAGTAAGTATTGAAATAGCCATATATTCAAATGCAAACAACAGATATTTCTGTATTCCCTATGCTGAGCCCCATATTGCTCATGTTTGCAAAACTATACATAGCATCAACCTAAGATTATCACCCTGATGCAATTTACATTTTACAATCTTGTTCAGATTTCCACTTTTTTCCATGCTCATTTGTGAGTTTGTGTGGGGCATTCAATTTTATGTGATTTTTCCCCCACATGTGTAGATTGTGTATCCACCACCACAGTCAAAAATACTGAACAGCTCCATCCCAGCAGCCACCCCTCCTGCAAGATCCTAATAATCCTATTCATCTCCCTCCGACAACCCCCACTGCTGTCATGGCGTTTCCAGAAGAGATTAGCATTTGATTCAGGAGACTGACTAAAGGAGATTGCTCTCACCAATGTGGATGGTTATCTTCCGACTGAGGACACACGTAGAACAAAAAGATGGAACAAGTGCCAATTTTCTCTCTCTTTTTTTTTTTTTTTTTTAGCTGCCTTCCAACACTGGAGCTTTTGATTGTCAGGCCTTTGGAATCTGTAGTTTACAACGTTACTCTCTCTCCTGTACTCAGTTCCCCAGTCTCAGAGTTGGCTTCAGGTGGTTATCAGGCCTTTGGACCTGGACTGAGTTGCGCCAACTGCTGACTTGGTTCTCTAGATTATGGGACTTCTCATTTTGTACAATTATGTGAGAAAACTCTCATAGTAAATCTTTTATATATGTATATCTTTATATGCCTTACTGGTTCTATTTTTCTGGGGATCCTTAATGCAGATATTCAAGAATGTAATTTTTTGGAAATGTTGCAAATTATATTGGGGTTTTAATAGTTTATTTATTTTCATTGTTATTACATAGAAATGTTAATTGAACTTTTGTGTAGATCATTGTTTGATGCTATCCATAGGTTTATCTAGATTCATTTTTTTCAAATTGAGATAATTCCCCTGTATTCCTATGTTTTAGTAGTAATTTTCTGCACTAGCATTAGTCCCAGCCGCCTGAGCTGTCTGCAGAGGCAAAGCAATCACACAGCTCAGCTCTAATATTCTTGGGAAGCGTGTAGTGATGGTTTTCTCTCCCTAAATCTCTTTTGCCTTGGTTGGCTTGCCCTTCTTCTCCTTTCCCCTTTTTAAACTTCTAATTTGCAGATAATCATAGATTCACCAGAAGTTGCTCAGAAATGTATGTGGAATCCCATCCCATGTGTGCTTCATACAGTCTTCTGCTGTGTTACCATCTTGTGTAACTATAGTAACTATCACAATCGAGAAATTGTTGGTGGTACAATTCATGCAGATGATTAGATTTCCCCAGTTATACTTACGCTCATTAGTGTGTTTCTCAGGTATATCACATATGTAGCCTTGCATAACCATGGGCACAATGGACACACTCACTTATATTCTTTTATATTCATCCCCATCTCCTTCCAGTATCTAACCGAGCAACCACTTTAGAATTTTTTTCTTTAAATCACTGAGCGGTATTCCTTGGTGTGATGTACCACAGTTTAACACTTTATCAGTTGAAGGACGTTTAGGTGGTTTCCAGATTTCGTTTGTTTTTTCTCAATAAAGCTGCAATGAACATTTGTGTACAAGTTCTTGCATGAAAATAAGTCTTTATTTCTCTGGGAAAATATCCAAAAGGGCAATTGTTAGTTCATATATTAAGTCCATATTTGGTTTTAAAAGGAATGTTCAAGCTGTTTTCCAGAGTGGCTGAATCCTTTTACATTCCTGCCAACAATGAATGGGTTATCTAGTTTCTATGCATCCTTGCCAGCATTTGGTGATACCACTGTTTTTCATTATAGCCATTTATATGGTATCTCATTGTGAGTTTAATTTTCATTTCTGTAACATTCAGCATATCCTATTTGGTGAAATATCCTGTTTGGTGAAATATTTGTGCCTGTGTTTTGTCCTTTTAAAATTGAATTTGATACTGAGTTTGAGAATTTTTTTATAAGTATTCTTGATGCTAGTCTTTTGTTGGATAGGAAATAAATATTTTTCTTTCAGTCTGTAATTTCTGTTTTCATCTTTTCATCAGGGTATTTTGTAGAGTAAAACTTTTAAATTTTGACAAAGTTCAGTTTATCAGTTTTTTATGGATCCTGGTTTTTGTGGCAAACCGAACAACTCTACCTAGCTTTGTATACAAAAAATTTTCTGACTTTTTTTTAAAAATCCTTTATAAAATTCACTATTTTGCCTTCACATTTTAATTTTTTGTTTCTATTCTTTATTTTACAAGGCTTCATTCAATTCCATCTTGTTCTAGTTTTAAACCCTGAAAGATACATCAGAGTCGTTCCTTTATTAAAGTGGAGTCCTGCAGAAGGAATGAGATCTGGTTGTGATATTTGTGTTTGTGGTAATCAAGTCAAGTACTGAACATCCCCCCTGCTAATTTTTTTTTTTTTTTTTTAAGATTTATTTATTTGAAAGGCAGAGTTACAGGGAGGCAGAGTCAGGGAGAGATCTTCCACCTGCTGGTTTACTCTCCAAATGGCTGCAATGGCCAGAGCTGGGCCGATCTGAAGCCAGGAGCTTCTTCTGGGTCTCCCATGTGGTGCAGGGATCTAAGAACTTGGACCATCTTCTGCTGCAAAGACATTGTAGTTCACTTGAGGAAACAGAAATCAGTTCATACTGGGTCTTTTCTTTCATAGAAACAAATCTGGTGGTTACAGTGTAATTTGGTGCATACATATAAAAGGACACCCACTCTGTGAAGGGTTAAGGTTGATGGTTTTGTTTTCTGAGGCAAAGTGAATATTTTGATAATATCTCATCTTACGTTTCAGTATAGCAGTAGCTTCTTATTGAGCACTATACCCTTTTGACAAAATGCTGCTTTACTCATGTGTTATTATTTGTTATTTTTAAGTAGAAGTGGTAAACCTCACAATGAAAAAAAAAAAACCTTGTTGCAGATGTATAATCCTTTGTGCTGTTAAAAAACAGGCATTGGACTTTGAGAGAGGATTCCCATTCATCCCACTCGTGAGTTAGCACTCTTGTCTCTGAAGGTTGAGTTTTATTTGGGTAAATTCATTAGGCAGGAAGCTGAAGAGAAACAGCACAGATGTGTTAAACCAGTGGTGATAATTTCAAATACTATATTTTATAATAATGTCCTTATAGAGAACACAACATTAGCTGGCTTAAGTGGCTGTTGGTTTCATTATTTGATTACAGGAAACAGGACTTGGGTGTGGGGAGCAACTCGGACTAGACTAAGTTACTGGAATTAAGACTTATTCTATGCATCTGCTCTCCCACAATATGGCGCTGGGAGAGGAGTAAAAACAGCTTCTACACAGCTGCCTCCAGTTCAACCAATAAACTGTAGGACCTGCTCCTGATTGGAGGAGAGCAGCGTACTCGGCGTGTGGGTAGCAGAGTTG